CATCATCCTTCTCTCCTCAAGTGGGGTATGACAGCAGCGACATGACGAGTGTGCCTTGATCCATAATGTATCCAGTTAAAAGAGAAAAGAGGATGATGATACAGTTTGGCCTGATGTTGGTTTATAGTCTCGAAACCTTTATTTTCTTTCACCACTCTTCTGTGATACGGTGTAAGTGGTGGGTCGCTGGTGGCTGAGCAGACGTGCAGAGAGAGAGAGTGAGCATCTCGCTAGCCAAATATTTAGAGCACATTGGATGATTGGACAAAATGAATGATTCACGTGCACATACACGAACGGACGAACCGCATGAAGAAAGCAAATCCTTCAATCTCCATCGATTCACTGCCAGTAGTTCTCGAACCAGTACTCACTCAAATCTAGAGACTCAACTCAGTTGACAAGTGGATAATGTAGAACAGATGTTAAAAGGGAGATTTGTGGCCTTTTATTTGTACTGGGACGGGAAGAAGAAAGGTACAAGTGCTCATTTGCCCACTCATTTCACTGGTTTCATTTCAGCCTGAGTTTTCAGCCCGAGCGAGATATGGATCCAATAATAATGAAAACATTTTAAGTACGCACAGGCATCCCCGTCACGTCGTCGAGAATGCTGAGTATCGCGCATTTTGACGCATAATGAGAAACGATTGAAATAATGTGGGGAGGACTCGCGTAGCAAATCCTTCAGTTGATCACGACCAGAAGAGAGAAAGAAGCATCGTCACCAGAGCAGTGTGCATGAATTTTTTCGAGTTTATTTGAGTAATGATGAGTGTCGCATTAATTTCGCTTGCCATGAATGCCAGTTGAAAGGGTGTGAGGCGTTTAAAAAACTCTCTGTCGGTTTTACAAATGTCTGGGATGGAGGGTGATGAGAAGAACTGTGGTAGGATTTCCTCCTTTTTAGAGGATCATTATTTGCACACGTAGTATCAGTGAAATGAACTTTGGTTGCTGGCTGAATAGCTGTAGGCGTCGTGTGCATTATACGGGCGTGCCCTTATTCCAATAACAAGGAAAGAAAACAGAGACGGAGGCAAGAGCAAACGAGTTTCAAGTTTTCAAGTTCAGACTGTGAATTTTTGAACAAGTGAACAAAGTAGAAAGACAGAAGAATATGTTTTCCTACCTCAGTTTGTGTGCCTCCAAAGCTCACACTTTCACTAATACGAATATCATGGGATTTGCTTTTCTCAATACTTTTAGACAAATTTCGTGGTGAAATGATCCAACTCCTTCAAAATACTCCTCCTGAGTACTTACAAGCGTGCAGGGATAACCAAGATTGTGAACAATTTCAGAAATTTCTCATCTTTTTCATTATTTTAGGTGTGCAGTTACGTAGCTCTGCACACTTTAATCCGAATATATGTACTATCATAGAAATCTTGTTAATCATGATATTTGAAAATGTGTCCTTTATGTCGCGGTACATACACACACGTACCAAGACAAGTTGGATAAGCGTGGCGAAAAAATCGATCAAAGATATCCATCAGACGACGAGGAAGAGGAACGCTCTCTTTCTCTTGGATTATTCCTTTGTGTAGATTGTAGAATAAACTTGAAGAATGTATACCTCGTCGAGTGTTCTACTACTTTTTGGAGAAATGTTCGAGTGAAACTTATCCTTTCGGGTAATGGTTCACTTTCATTGGAAAGGTGCATTTTATACCAGTCAAAATTTTGAAAAGTGATCTGCGGGTCTACAAATTAATCGCCAAATTCCCGTTTCGAATTGCCAACTTCTTACGTGGGTGGCACAATTCATTAAATTTTATCCACAGATATAAAATGGCAGTCTGCTCGACCAAACCCTGTCCTCTATAGTAGTGGGCGACCCAATGAATTTTGCAATCCAATACCCAAAGAGCTCCTTAAGCCGCTACTCTGTATTTTCCCCATGTACACTCCGACCTGAAAGCACGAACACGTACTTTTTACATCTTACATCGTTTGATCTGACTTTTTCGATTGATTCCATTCCAACTTACAAATCTTTTTATCGTCACTCACTCACTCACCCACTCGCAAACCAAACCAAGTCCGACTTCAGACGATATTATCCGTCGACATTGACCAGGCCGGTGGGCGATATCACCAAACACCGCCACTTTTTGCTGCCTGACCATCACGCCATGATGCTCCTGCATCGTTCCCTTCCCTCTGCCTACGTACAAACAATGAACCTTGTGTTTTTAAACTTTCACTCCACTTTCATTCTTCAAAAGGAATTCCGAACTTTGGAAAGTATTCTTATTCGTCGTGTCAGCATCACTCCAACACCTTCGTATTCCTCCTCCTCTTATCGAATACATACAAACTATAGCTTCCAGACCCATGGGTATCCCTCCTTGAAATACTTTGAAAAAGTTATCCTCTAACATGTACTTACGTATAAGGCTTCCCTTTATGCATTGGCCACGGCCACTATCTGTACTCCTACGTACGTACAACTACTGTTTGTCCTAATTACCCTCATTCTTATTTCACCATCCTCATCATGATCATCAGTCTACTCCTCAACATATTTTGCAGTCCAGCCAGCAGATTTCAAACCCAACTTTGCAATGTTGCACCCTTCACACAAAGTTTTCGCCAGGCAATAACTTTCAGTAGTCGCAAAATCATGAGCTTGCTCTTCTACAGAACATCTCCTCTTTTCTGGCGAACATGAAAGTTTGTAATTTGCTACAAAACTTGAGCATAACTTAATCCGATTAAAATTTTAAGGAGGATGCGTAGCAACCCAATATTCCTCACCACTCGCCCACTCGCTCAGCCAGCTTCCACGTCTTTGTTGTCAGCCTTTTGTGATGTAGGAGGAAAAACCTGAGAGCAATATTTTACAATTCTAAATTGATATGTGAACTCGAATAAAATTGAGTTTGGATTTTTTTTCATAAAAAATATGTCTATGAGGGTGACAGGTAAATAGATGAGATGAAATGAAACGAGAGAGCCAAATTTTACTTCTTTAATAAAATAAGAAAGCCTACTTCAAAGCGGAGGAGAGAAGATGAGTGTTATGCCATCAAGCATGCTTAGAAAGGAAACATGACGTAAACATAATTCATCATCGTTTCATATAACTTGTTAATAATAATTGTAAAAGGAAAAATGAGAACATTGACGGGATAAAATTTATGTTTCTCCTTTCTGCTTTTTGTGTTATTGTGTGTGACATCACATTAAACCTCACCCTCGTATTTCTTATTCCACAACAGCCACCCGTCATACTCGAAGTCGTACATGTGCATACATTTCTGCCCTTCTCCTTATCACCACCAGCTTCTGCATATATTGGAGTACGTATTTTTCAAAAGTGGTGGGAATATTGCTTCTGGGAGTTAGATCCTGGGTAGGTTGCGTCCTTTGGTAGTGAAGATACAGAAGGAGAGAGGAGATGTCAAAATGGATGTCGGGAGAGATGTCGAATGTCGCAATAAATAAAGAGCTGGAATCGATGATGAAATGAAACGAATAGCTTTTTCCGTACCGAAAAAGGAGTTAAACTTTTTCCCTAACTTGCTGTCTCCCCTCATTTATACGAAATATATCAGATCTATAAAAGGAATGTGCGTAATACTTATAATATCTTCGTTTCGAATTGTGCGGAGGGATGACACTACTAGTGACTGGCATGTGATGATGATGAGTGTGATAGGAAAAGTGACGGGAAATCATGGAAGAAGAAGAGGAGGAGGAGAAAAGTTTTGACAACACTATAGTAGCGTTTGGTTCATGTTTACGTATATGTACTTATGTATGTTCCTTTAAATGTATGTATGTATGTAGTGCTAGAATTTGTGTGTGCATGATGATTACGAAGGCGGCCTCGTGTTATGTTGGTTGGTGTGGTGTCGACAGTTATTTTATTTGACTGCTTTCTACTTCTTCTGCTCCCCAGACTATTTCTGAATTCCTCGTTGTGATGATGTGACACTTGCACAACGCACACAACTGGTCGGTGGAGTTGGATGAGCTTCTATTTGACATCCAGTTTCCTTTATAACTTTCCCTCTTGCTCTTTTGAGGCTTTCCCTCGTGCATATTACTTCCTGGTAATAAAAACGAGTAGTTTCGAGTGCAGCAGTAAACACATACGTCGCTGGTTGGTGCATCCCGGCGAGAAAACCTGGTAGGCATGCATGTGATGTATATGATACAAGTTAATTTAACAGGTTTCTCTCTCTCAAAGAGATGATTGGAATAAATGCAATCTACATGGTGACGATGACGAGCCGAGTTGTCGGGCTGCCCTCTGATAAACAACAGAGACGTATGCCAACCACCCGGCGAAACCAATAACACAATTTAATCCGGAAGAGACGAATATTGTGCGTTGCAATGCGATGCAGTTTAATACGACGAGCGTAATATATCTGTCCCGTGGTTGGCTATTTGCGTAATCACATAATCAAATTGGAAAAGCAGACGAGTTGTCGTTGTGTCACGAGGAAGGAGACTTTCACTTTCATCATCATCACAATCCGTTTCCCAATCCACCGACAAAGTGAATGAATGAGAAACCTCGCAATTGAGCCTGGTGTGTAGTTGGTTGGTTTGTTATTGTGCGTGTGCCCGTGCCCAGTCCTTTCCATCAGCTGCCTCCTCTCCATTTGAATATAGTCAACTAACTATTTAGTAACAACACGCCGATGATCGGCACCAACAAAGGTGGTCGTCTTTCATGAGGCCTCACTTTTGTGGGGTTAGTACTAATGAGAAATAGTTATTACTACGTTTGCCAATCCTTTTACCAGTTGGGAAAGAGTTCCATACATACCAACAAGTCGTCAACGTTTTTATGGATTCATTTCAATCAAGAAGTGGTTTGATTTTGTTTTATTAATAAAATACATATCAACGGAAACTAATAACAAAGTAATTGTAGGGTTACGTTTTTCTTGATAATTTTAGAATACCCTATTGATAATTTGGTATAAAAACACATGAACTAAAATATAATTATTTTTATTTTTTATTTTTTTCAGAATACTTGATGTCCTCGCCATATCAGCCCAAGTCCCCCATGCCGATCGGAACCAGTCTCGCCACCGCCAAGAAACTCTTCCAAGGTGGCGGCGGTGGCGATAACCTTCACAATGAGACGGCCGACTCCAACAGCACCTTGTCCACCCTCCCAAGTCAAGCCAGGTCAGCCCCATTTCTATATATTTCATTTGAAATTATACCAGAAAACGAATTCCCGGATGCAAGATTAAATGTTGTTTCGCGAGATACGTTTGTCAATTTTCGGAATATCGGCATCCATACAAAATTAATTTATATACATACACACATTCTCCATACGACCAGTGCGTGTTAAATTGAAATACCAGTCGACAACATACATGGCCGATAAGGAGGGAATATAATAATGTGCCAGTTTGTGTGGTGGTTTTGGTCCATACTTATGCATTACAAGGGTGCTAGTTCTGGTGGTTATGCATATGGTGGCAATAATGGGAATTCAAAGGAATCGCTTGAGCTCTTCATTCATGCCATTTTATTCATGAGCTAGTTGGTTGATCGGTTCGGTTGGTCTTCGTCGTCGTCGTTGGCGAGGAGGTTGTTGGACTGATTTGCATTTCACTTTCGCTTACACGTTCACACGATCGGGACTCGATTTATGCCATTCTTGGGTTCTCTCGATCCCTTTTTCAGTGACCCAGATAGGTTCAGAAAATTTTGTGGAATGTGCTCGTGGTGGTGGAAGAAGCAGGGCTGCATGCCCCATAATAATTCCCTTGTATACAAATAGATTCAGAATGGAAGTCATTTTAAATAAAATTGGGTAATTCCCATGTCCACTGGATGGTGGTGGTGGTGGGTGATGGAATTGGGGAAAGTGAGTGAAGGGGAATTGATCCCATTCAAACCCGAGGAGATTATTTTGAGACGAGGAAAGGGGAAACAATGGATTGGTTAAGCAAATTGGAGTTGAAGTTAGTTACCTTCTTCTTGTGTTGGTTCATCCTTCCTGTGTCCTCCTGCTACTCGGCTACCATTACGACTACCACGACCAATACTACGGGCTTATTGTGCTCTTCCTGGAGAAAGGAAGGGAAGGCGGGAGGGAAGGAAGACGAGGGGAGTAACCACAACAGATGAGATCTCATTTTGGAATGAAAAGCGGTCTGAATATTGCAAACCCATTGAGACCATTGTAACCAAACCATGTATTTGTCCAAAGACTTGCTTGTTTGGCCTGAGTACTTGAACTAGAAGAACTCCTAGTGTACATAGTATTAGAAACAGGAGCGTGATGGTGGTGGTTGTGTAGCGTAACGTAACGTGTCATGCCTTGTTCGCAGTTCCAGCGGCGAATAAGTGGGAGAAAGTGGAGGAGACTTATATCAGTGGCAGTTTACTTGTACAGCAGCAGCACTACTTTCTTCTACTGGCGCACTAATCCGCAGTCAGGACGGGTTTTAATGAGGGCAGCAGTTAGCTCAGAGTTCAACCGTCTTTGCTTTAGTCGTTACTTTGGGTTCAAGTGGATCCATGCTTTCTCCACATCCCACCATCACCACCACCACCACCACCCATCCCCATCCGCAGAAATAAATGAATGGTTGTTGTAGAAGGAAGGGAGGAAGAAGAAGAAGAAGAAGAGAAAAGAAGACGACTTGGTTTTGAAAGCAGAGGAAAAAGGAAGGATGTTCAAGGCTCCAAGGCAATTCCGGCACCAGACCCACCGCACTGCTCCGCTGAGAATTGAGCTGGCATTGTTTATTTGCATGTGTAGAGGAATACTATTACAAGAGGAGAATGTAGTAGTGGTTGTGGAAGCCAACTTTTGCGTATGAGTTGAAGCAGTATAGCGTAGGAAGTGTTGGTTGGATGGCATCACGTTGATGTTGGATTTTGCTAGATGTGGATGCACTTGGACTTATCTTAAAATAATCATCACTCATTCCAAGCTGTGATTGCTTCCGCTCCTGTTTGTCCAACTGCTTACTGTGTCGGAAAGCAAATGGGCAAACTAATTTAGTCCAAGTAGTAGGAGGAGGAGGCGGAGGAAGAAGAAGAGGCGAGCAAGCAGTTAGTTGGGATTATGCTACTCTAAATACGGAGGGAATTAATATCTGCTTATTCTGCAAGTAATGTTTTTCATAGTTCAAAACAAGAGCAACAAGAAGAAGAGCGAGACACAAGACGAGAGAGAGAGCGAGAGAAGGCATGTATCCAGCTTGGAATTTGGCCACTTTCTCCTCTTCCTCCTTCCGTCGCATTCAGTATCACAGACACTTCATTTGTTTGAACGCATTTGCATGAGAAATTAGGAATGATAGTTGTAGTGTAACCAACCATTGTTATGAATGTTCCTAACAAAATGGCCATTAGCGACTTGTTCTTTGGCTCTGTGTCTGCTGCCCAGCAAGGAAGATGAAGATGAGTGAGTAGTTGCTGTGCGAAATGAATTTGTTATTGTAAACAAAGCCAAGCCTCATTATAACCTGTCATGTCTCACGTTTCAATGTTTCCTTCATTATTCGTCCTCGTCGTCGTCATCGTCGCCGTCTCATCCTTCTTCTTCTTCTTGTATTCTTATGGTCTACTCCTCCTTCCTTTTACCATCATTATGCAGATAGATCCAACAAAAGGCTCAGGTTCAGAGTTCACCACACCAGCAACCAACCAGCCAACCATGGCCACTGACACCAAGCAACACTTGAGAGTTTCTAGTGTTTCTTCTTCTTCGCTCCTCTCTCTCTCTCTCTTTCCTTGTAACATGAGCAAACCTCAGTTGGGTCAATAACTACAGAAGCTTGCTCCGTTAGTTGGTGTATAATTTAAATGGAATTGTTTCTCTCTTGTTTGTGCACTAGTACATAGTTTACAGAAAACATTGAGAAGAAGTGTAAGCTCAGCCAGACCTTTTATTCCGTATTTCTGTATGCATATGATATCCAGTCTGCAATGATATTATGTATTTATTTCAATGTGCTCGTCTCTGCTTTCTCTTTAAGTAGCAGTTGAGAAAGTTTGTCAATTTTCGTAGGAAATGAATAGCCACACCTTCCATCCAGCAAGTTGGTCTTATTTCCATTGAATTCGCCCACCATGCAGTGCTACTTTCACATTAGGATTCCTTCAATGTGGAGCGGAAATGCGGCGGCTTCTTCGTCCTTTCACTTAACCTCTGAACTTTCACTCTTGACACTCCCGGACTGAACCTCATCTGGCTGGTGGTAGCTCATGCAGTGCTGCATAATAGTAAAACATGAGAAGTTTGATGGTGATACATTTTTTCCTTCCACATTTTATGAGTACAAATGAGTGAACATCATTCATCCTCCGCCTGCTCCATCCGTGAGGTTGAGGAGTTCTTGGTATATGATGCTCTCATACACACAATTTACATTTTGCTCATTTCGTGTCCACGATCCGCTACTGCTCCTGCGGTGGTGAAGGAATGAAAATGGAAATGAGATATGTCGAATGAAAACTGACTGACTTGCTCAACTCACCACACATTTCTGCCCACATTTCATTTTTATGTGGGTTGACTCGAGGCATAAAATGGAGGGGTGTTATTGATGCACTTTAGAATAATAAGTAGGTTAGGTATCAACGGGACAATAAAAGTAAGTGGGTTGCATTTCATTACAGGCCTGCTTTGGGATGAGTATGTATCATACTAAAATGCAGTTTATTGGCTTTTCTGAATGAATTGCCTAGTTGTCCAAGAAGATAAAGCCAGCCACGGTGTATTTGGAGGACTGTCTGGTTTATATTGCTATCAATAATATAAAAAATAGGTAAATACATGTGTAGATATGTAACTGCATTACTCGCTCACCACAACCAGCTAACCAAGCAGAATAGGCAGGCCAAGCACTCAGGTAGATAACATTAGTTTACGCAACTAGGGATCGTCAAGTGCATTGGGAAGGAGCCTGAGGTGACTCGGTGATGAAATGGGGAAAATAAAATTGAAATGAAATTCGGTGTAGAGAGTTGTTCTTCTTGTACTTCTCTCCTCCACGGTTGGTTGGTTGGTTGGCTTGAAGGATGGAATGGTGATGATGGCCAAATCCTTCGTCATCTACCTGTAGAAAGATATTCATGTTTTATTCTCCAACCTATATACCTTTCTCTCTCTCTCTGTCTGAATTATTCTCAATCCTGAAATTCCACGACGACTGAGTGATGTATGTATGTAGAGAAAACCTGGGGGTGGGTTTATATGTATGTATATTCCTGTAAACCAAGATACTACGACGGTGGTTGTTGGGTTGACGTAAGTAAGAAAGGTTGGCTGCATTCCTCCCTTGCTTCTAAGTGGGTCGGATAGTAAGGCCAACTGGATTATGAATGATGCATGCATTTCAGAGTCGTCGGGAATAGTAGAAAAGCCATATAAAAGATGATGGTAAAATCACAAAGTTGGCTGTCATCTCCACAACTAGAAAACAACAACGAAAACGAACGGGATGAAATAAAGGACCAGGTTAGTTGGTCGGGTAGTGAGTACATTAAGCACAGCACAAAATACATGGAACAGCAGTAAAACTTACTTTGTATTTTTTTCAAGAAACCATTGTTTTCTTTCATAGATCTCATCGTTTCAGAAATATTGTACCTTGTTGTATTTGTTCTGTTGTTAGTTTGGGTTTGAGATCAACGTGGAATAAATACTTTTATCGCAGTTGGATAGTTGTGGGAAAGGTTGGCACATTTTAACTATTCTACCCTCCACCTTATCCTCACATATGAACAAACTTGAGGCAGCCGTACCTTCAACCTTCCTCACCGCTGAGAATATTAAGTTTGTTCTAGTTTTGAGATGTGTAAGGAAAAAAAGAAGGACAGGAGAGAATCCTTACGTCCAAAACTCAAACAGAGAATGTGTGAGTATTGTAGTGAGCGAGTTCGACTTTGTCCGACTTTCTCACATTCCTGGAATAAGTTTCGGGCAGGTGAAGGAAGTGGAAATCGTTGATATATCTAAGATAAGATGGGCCAAGGTGTACGAAGTGGGGATGTTTGTTGGTTGTTTTCTATATATACAACTGCACACATATGTATAAGCAAACTGAGGGAGAGAAAGAGAGAGAAGAAACGTAAAACGAGACGACTTGTGCAGTGTATTTTCTCCCAGGACCGTGATGTTACTTTCTCTTTTCTAAACTCTAAAGTAGACACGA